TTTTGGTCACTTTCTGTTTCAACGAAAAACTATTGATTTTTAAATGGAACCGACGGTAGGTTCTTCTTTCTGGTTTATTCGATAGAAAATGACACTATGAGTAGAATGACATATCATATGTCAACTTTTGACATTTTTGCTCAAAAAATCGTATTTTAAATTTTAATCTAGAGTGCCATGGCTGTGTTTAAAATACTAATTTTTAAACAAGGAGCCTTGGAAAAATAGATTTGATCGTCTAATGTTTTTCGTGTCTTGTCCTTGTGGGTTAAAAAATGCCCAAATCATATTTTTAATCCTATGCCAATTTTTTCAAATGGAACAAGTGGCTCATTTGCATATTTGGAAAAAGAATTTTTACGAATAATTTTGTACCAAACACTTGATATTTCGAGTGAAATTGTCGTTATGTACCGTATGTTACAATTTCAAATAAACCATATTATGCGAAAATGTCAAAAGTTGACATATGATATGTCATTCTATTTAGATTGTCATTTTCTATCGCATAAAGTAGAAATATACCGAGGTTGACATTTAAAAATCAAACGTTTTATTAATTTCCGGTGAAAGAGGAAGTGATCAAAAACAATTGAATATACGTCAATTAATCCTAATTTATGTCGTATACTAACATACCAAATCTCGTTTTTTCATCTGAAAAAATAAACAAGTTATAAGAGTGAGCCAGTTTTGAGAAGCACCCGGTATATAAATGATAAGTATAAGTGATCTTTGAAAACATTATTATTTAGTTACAAGCAATTGTGTTATGTTTCTATAAAAATTTAAGAAAAACTTCTTTTCTTTTTCACAATCAATCATTTCGTGCAGAATCAGTATAGGTATGATCAGATACAGTTTTGTCGGCTTCAAAATGAGGAATCAGCCAGTGTTTGAGATTTGAGATGCATTCATTGTCTTGCTTTAAAGAGAAATTTTTACGATTCTGCTACCATTTACCATGTATTACTACATATACAATGCAGAACAATCAAAATCACCAAAAGATTGATATTTTTCCCACTACTGTTAATAAATTAATTAGGCAAATTTACAAGCATTTTTGATAATGATATCGGGATCCTATTTAGCTTCTTGCGAATTGAATATTTGTTTCATATAATTTTAGGGCAGATCAGCCATTAACAAATAAAGGGTGTGGGTAGTAGACAAAGTGCAATTTTGAGCGGTCAGTCTAAAACTGTCAATTTTGCTGGCTCTTGACCCAAAACAGTTTATTGTTTAGAGAAAATTTATAAAAACAAGAATTATAGAAAGGAAGGGTTATTTACAAAAAGTTGAAAGCTTTTCAGTTATAAGTAAAATACCACGAACAATTTTTTTTAAATATTTTAGTTGCTGGCGTGGCGCCCCTCACATTCGGCGCCCCGGGCGGTCGCCCGGGTCCCCCGGTCCTTCCGCCGGCCCTGAACATCGCACTAAAACTGCCTCCCCCAGAAGTAATGCCGAAAGGTAGTTCCATGGGAGATAGTCAAAGCGGTTTGTGGAGTTTTTTTAGTCGGTAAGGTATTTCAACAACCCCGATAGTACGGTCCCCCCGACACTTACGGCACAATACGGTCTCTGGTTTGCAGATTTGGTTTGCAACTAGTTGGTAATAACAATAAATTTTTGATGAACACAATATATTCAGTACTATGTTAAAGAAATTTAAAATCTAAATTTATAGACACCGTCGTATAATATTTACGAATATACTGTTGATGATATAGCATTGAAGGTAGGTATACTTCCTACTTCCTATATACTGTAAGTATTTTTTGTGGGGCAGGCAAACTTGTGTACCAGTAAAGAACTACTGAGAAATGTGCTAGTGGGTACCAAACTGACATTTTAAATAAAATATTTTTTCTATATATATCTCTATATCGAAATTCTGAATATAAAACTTTTTTGTTTTATTTGCGATATACCCATATATTTCAGTACAATAAAACCTGACACGCATATAAGATTCTGCACATTAGGTTAGATAAACAGCAGCAATGGACGTCATCCTAGACCTAACACCACTGCACATTGTCGTCGGTAGGTATGTCAATACAACAATGATTAGAATGGTCATTGACGGAAACAGTACTGGGAGAATTTTCAGGTCAGGTAAAAAACCTCCATCAAAAAGAAAATTCCACTCCTTCAACTCCCAGTGGATGGCATACCAAGAATGTACAACTTACTAAATACCTCACTGTAGTATCGAGCAATAAAAAGGATTGAAAAATAAACGTTTGTGCCCTTAAAAGGCTATACCACAATGTGCTATACTGATGCATCCAAAACCAAGGCAGGGACAGATATAAGAATATTTGCAAACGATGTAGCTAGAAAATGAATGGACACTCGACTAACTGGACCTGAACCATTAAATCGGATATTAACTTAAAGCGGAACTCAAGAACCTGAATGAATTAATCCGTAACTTGAAATGGGAATCATCCAACGGGAGACTCGAAAATGCTTCTCAGAACTTACGACCGAGAAAAATCAAAGATTTTCCTCGATTTAAGTAAGAACAATCTTTGGATTGTCACGGGGTTTCTAACAGGACACTGTCTCCTCAACGAACACCTCAGTAGATTGAAGCTGAGAAACAATGGCGAATGCGATTCTGTGGGAAAAATGGGGAAACACCAGAATACCTTCCCACTGAGTGCCCCGAACGACAACCGTTCGTGCCATATACTTTGGTACGGTTGATGTCGGAGATGGAGGGCTGGGCTTTGTGTGGAGCCGTCTCAGATACTGGCTTTTTTTGCTGACAAACTTGAAGGTATGATGAGTTATAACTCGTTATAACTCAAGAAAGGGGAACACACAATAGAGATCTGTAAGGTCGCTGTGATTATTTTTCCTATTCGCCATAGCAGTTGCACCCTCTAGTGACCGTTCTAGGATCTTGAAAATAATTTTCAGCAATTTCTCATGGTTCACACTGTACTTTTCGGAGGCCCGAAGGCTAATATTTTCTATACAAGATACACAAGAGATCTATTCTTAGTGGGAGACCCGGTACATGTTATAATTTTCTAAAGTACTTTTAGTGAGTCGAATGAAATTTTGATGGTAAAAGTTACCATAAGTGCTACATATTTTAATGTCAAAAAAGTGTCGATAAATTCATCAGGGACGTGCATATGGGTAATCACTGGAATATTAAAAAAAAACATGTGCGCCACTGACTTTGAGATTGTGTAAGCAATTTAATGTCAATTAAAAGTTATCTCTTGATATTTTGTCTAATTCGGCCTCCTTGATGAGATAAACGCAATTTTATTAATCACAATAATTAATAAAATTAAAATAAAAATTAAAATAAAAATTAAATTAATAAATTATATATTTTACCTAAATTATTATTAAATATTATCACTATTAGATATTATTACTATTAGTCCAACCTACAGCAATTTCAGATTAAAAAATAATGGCATTTAAGATAATTACAAAAAATTTAATTTTAAAAAGTTTTAACGCTCTAAAATTATGCATTTCCATACCCACGTTTATAGGATTTTTTTTTCATATTTTTTGATGAGGAATCAATGAGTACTTATTTAAAACATTTCCAAGTTAATAATATTATAGATATTTACGATACAAGTGAGTTAACAGCATCATTAAGATACGCGTGTGAAAGTTGCACGAGTGCGTAGCACGAGTTGTGTAACCACACTAGTATCTTAATGGAGTTAACTCGCGTGTATTGTACAATATTTTATCTACGTCTAACTATAAAAACACACAATAAATTTTAAAAACTATTGTACTTAACTATATGCCTGTCCTAAAAATCAATTACCTTAATACCTTTGTTCAAATAACACCATGCATGGCAATATCAATATGACAGTAAATAATATTGATGTCACTAGTTTAAAAAATGAGCGATTCATTAACATTTATAATAAATAAGTTTTCATGTTTTTGTAATTATTATCAATAGAACAGTTTATTTGTATTTAGTAGGGATTTAGTGCGAAATAAATGTTTTACAAAATATTTCTCTTTGGTAGTCATTTAAACAAGGATTGCGGTAATGAAAATGCGTGAGTTAAGAAGCTCTTAACTCACTCAAAATGCGTGAGTTAACAGCTTCTTAACTCACTGACGTAGATATAATTTTTTTAAAGGTTGTTATTAGACTTGGATCTAGGCAAATTAATAAAATGCTTACACTATTTCGGTAACAAGAGAAAAAAAGTCAGTGGCGTATATTCTTTTTTTTTAGAAAAATATTCCAGTGATTACCAGTGATATGCACGTCCCTGGTGAACACGTCGACACTTTTTTAGCATTAAAATATGTCCCATTTATAGTAACTTTTACCCTCGAAACGCTAAAAGTCCTTGGCAGAAAATTATAATAAATCGAAAAAATATTAATACTTTAACACCCTGTAGCTAAGAAATAAAGCAGAATTGGACCTATGTTGACGTGAAAAATAAATCTTATTTTTACGTGAGGAATCTCTTCATCAGAGATGGCACATGTTTTTTGAAATACCCTGTATACGTTTGAAAGGGTTTGCTCTGTATTAGGTCATTAGACAACACACTACTTATACAAGTAATCTATACGATATTTTCTATAAGGATTTTTTTTTTACAAATTTTTTTTTTGAATGAGAATGATGAGATTTTCTTTTTACAAAAGAATCATTTCTATTTTCTGCCAGGGTTTCTAAAAGAACCTAAATAATTAAAAACATATTTAACTACCTTACAGGACATATCTAACCCTGACAGTAGTTCTTGTTAATTAAATATAAATAGATATTATTGTTAACGAAGTTTAAGTTTACTTTTAATGGTGCAAAAGGATGTTAACATTTTCTGAATACAATGGTGTGAGATTTAGTTTTTCAAGGTACGAGTGTCATTGCGAAATGGTTAAAAGTTTTTTAAATTCTTGGCATTTAAACTAAACTAATATTTTAGTATTAATTGATATTTTAATCAAGAAAAAATTAGTATTACCTTAATCTAAGAAGTATTACTTGTCCATTATTTTTTATAGCCAAAGACACTTGCTGACATGCTCGAAAGAAGATTTTTAAAAACATAATCACCTGTTTTTTATCGGTCTAATATCTCTTCGTGTATTTATGTAACTGATTCAATTTCACAGAAGAAAATTATACATAATAATTTTCAACAATAGCTGAAAAAATACACATACATAAATATATTCTCTTGAAGGTCTCGTCTCGCTATGCGCCTTTTATGAAAACGATATACGGGTTTTCGGAAACATCACGATGGAAAATGCATAGTGCACGGATAAGTTTGCATTGGTTATACAGGATGGTTAATCTTTATCTGTACCGGTACTAAAATATTATATTTCTACAAATGTCAGTAAAAGTATATGTATAACGCACGCATTCAGTGTTTAAAATGTCTAGTATAAAATTTGTGATTATGTACGCATATAGTATTATTTGGCAATACAGGACCAAATAGCAAATTCGACTTTTTTTACTCTAGAATCTTGTACTCTTCACACTGTACTATTTCATTATATGTATTCGTATTGTATTCGTATTGTATTCGTATTGTATTCATATTGTATTCGTATTGTATTCGTATTGTATTCGTATTGTATTCGTATTGTATTCGTATTGTATTCGTATTGTATTCGTATTGTATTCGTATTGTATTCGTATTGTATTCGTATTGTATTCGTATTGTATTCGTATTGTATTCGTATTGTATTCGTATTGTATTTGTTACTTATCTGGTAGATACTGCAAATTTCTAAACTTCCACTAAGACAAAAAAAAACTTTCAAAATCAAAATATTTATTTTCTGTAATAATAAAACACTTGTTCCCCACAATATTCCAAGCTTATTTAGTTTATTGTGACATAATTATTTAATGGTAAGCAAGCGCTTTTCGCAATAAGGACATCGGTATCCTCATCAGCTTGATGTGATAGAACTTTTGCCTTTTCTGTGACAGTAGGAACTATGGACTCAGTAAATAATGATATTGCAACAGATTGCTTTCTTTGCATTCTTGTTGATCTTTCTTTCTATTCCCTTGATGCTTCTACAATCTTCTCAGAGTAGCCATAAAAATGACACGAGAGAATGGGAATTCAATTCGTTGGAAAAGTGTGGTTGAATCGTAATTATAGTTCTGTTTTCTATCTGTACAAAGTTGTTCTTTATTGCAAGAGGTTTTATTTTATCACCGCATTTTTAAATTTGATAGTTTAAGAATTACCACCCATAATGCACTCTATACTTTTCATACATATCTCTTTTAAAAAGTTACAGATACGTGTATATTTACGTATAATTTAAATATAATATAAATTTAATTCCTTTATTACCGGTGGTGGTATAATTGTTGAAATCACTCTCTGTATGATATTAAACTTAAAACTAATTTTTTAATAGAAAGATTATTTACGGAAAGTTGATAATATTTTTAAAGTTAGAAAAAACCGCAAAAATTAAATTTTTTCCGCATTTTTGCATTTTTCTCTAATTTTGTTACGAAATTTTGTTAGCAAACTTCAGATTCGAATTCAGCATCCCAAGAAATATAGGTAATAAACAAACTAAATTACAACGACGTCAAAACTTTCCCCCAAGAGGCAGTTTTGAGTATAATTTGACTATACTAATAGACAGATAAATTTGTGTGGTTTAATTTATTTGTTGATATATATTTTATAGTTAAAATATGATTGGCCCTTGCTTAGTTGGTTTATATTACTCCACCTGACGTCACAACCTTGCCCCCCTTACAGATTACTGGTTGCAGATATCTTGGAGTTTCCCATACATTTCCGAACTAACATTGATTATATTGTTATGTGTTGACCTAGCGGTCGTATTTCTTTTTCATAAGGAATAATTATCTAAACAAAAGCTCGCATATAGTTTATTGATGGGGACAGGTAAGTAGTTTGTTGTAAACATTCAGTTATGTGTGCGTCGCTGATAGTTTTTGTTGGAATCAAACAAAAAAGATAGTTAAAGCACCAATTGCGAGTTGACAAGTTACCTAGTGGTGCATAAATAGTGATAATTGGTTTATGTGTGGACTTTTGTTTTGTTGTTCATATAGCGCATGTTGTCATTTTTTTGTTTAGTTAAGTGCATGTCGTTAATGAAGAAACTCTGCCCTATTTTCAAAAAATAAGGTAAGGTAATAAGAATTTAATTATAAATTAATCTGTTTTTTTTTAAATCTAACCGTTTATGGATATTTATTTATATCTGATACACAAAAAGGCGATATTTTCTTTAATTAATAAACATAATAAATATAGAATTTCTTGATAGAAATCTTTGTAATATAAAAATTCATCAGAAAATTTAATTAACCTGTACCCTAAAATACTTTATTTTAAACACTCTATGCATGTCTTGCTAACCGTAAAATTAGCATTATTAGCAGATGACTAAAAAATTAAATTTAAAACTAGTAGTAGTGATATAGTATTCACAGAGGTATTGGTAGAATACAAAATAAATATGAAGTTTTACTATATAATTAATATACAGGGTGGTCCGAATTGCATTCCGGAAACTTCGGCAGCATGTTCTGCAAATAAAAATAAGTAAAAAAGTTCGTATAAATGTATGTTCTAAAATGCTTAGTTTCGAAGATACAGGGTGAAGAAGTTTCATTTTTATTTCGATTTTTTCCAAATAATTTCTGAAGTAACGTCAACATTTGGATGAAAATTGGTGTCTGGGAGTTTTTTGACATGAAAAATTTGATTTTGATGTCAATATGACTCCTACCAGTAGAGGGCGCCACCTACATGTGTTTTAACTGTTTTGAAGCGTAATAACTTTTTGTCCGTACCTATATAAAACTACCGAGCAAAAAAGATGTATATTTTTTTGCTCGGTAGTTTTATATAGGTACGGACAAAAAGTTATTACGCTTCAAAACAGTTAAAACACATGTAGGTCTGTGACTTTTTACGAAAAAAATATCTCTTTCTAAAAATCGCTACGAACAACCGTTCTTAAGATATTTAGAATGGAATAGTCAATGCATGTCATTATTGACGAAAAATAAGCACGTTGTGAGTAATTATTTCACTGAAAATAATAAATTTGGAAAATTTTTATTTTTTTTAAATTAATCATAAAATTTTCTGCAAAAAATGATGATAAAACAGTTTCTGTTGAACTTTTGACACAAAAACATTTGAAATTTATGATTTCAGTCTAATAACTATGTAGTCAACATGTTTAATTTATGTCATGATGACAGGTATTGATAATTTTGATTCCAAATAGCTCGAAAACCATTTCTCATAGCGATTTTTACTAAGAGGCCTTTTTCACGTAAAAAACGTCGTGAATGTTTATTTTTTTACTTAATAGTTTTATACAGGTACGGACGAAAAGTTATTACTCTTCAAATCAGTTAAAAAATATGTAGGTGGCGCCCTCTACCAGTAGGAGTCATATTAACATCAAAATCCAATTTTTATGTCAAAAAACTCCCAGACACCAATTTTCATCCAAATTTTGACGTTACTTCAGAAATTATTTGGAAAAAATCGAAATAAAAATGAAACTTCTACACCCTGTATCTCCGAAACTAAGCATTTTAGAACATACATTTATACGAACTTATTTTTATCTGCAGAATATGCTGCCGAAGCTTCCGGAATACAGTTCGGACCACCCTGTATATTATTAAGTTTTAAAATATTTGGTGCGTCTCAAAAGTGGCTCACCACTATAACTTTTTTAATTTTTCAGATAAAACAAGGAGATTTGGTATGTTAGTATAAGACATATATTAGGATTGATTGACGTATCCAATTGTTTTTGGTCACTTCCTGTTTCACCGGAAATTACTACAGCTTTTGATTTTTAAATGGCACCCTCGCTATATTTCTACTTTATGCGATAGAAAATGACACTCTGAATAGAATGACATATCATATGTCAACTTTGACATTTTTACATATGGTTTATTTGAAATTACAATATGCGGTTCATAACGACAGTTTGACTCGAAATACCAAGTGTGTGGTACCAAATTATTCGTAAAAAAAAGCTTTTTCGAAATATGCTAATGAGCCACCCTTGTACCATTTGAAAAAATTGAGATATGGTTAAAGATACGATTTAAGCATCTTTTAACCGGCCATGACGAGACACGAGAAACATTAGAAGATCAAATCTATTTTTTCAAGGATCCTTGATTAAAAATTAGTGTTTTTAACAGAGCCACGGCACTCTAGATTGAAATTTAAAATATGATTTTTCTTTAAGGGAAAATATCAAAAGTTGACATGTGATATGTCATTCTATTCAGAGTATCATTTTCCATCGAATGAAGTAAAAATATAACAAAGGTGCCATTTAAAAATCAAAAGTTGTAGTAATTTCCGACATAACAGGAAGTGACCAAAAACAATTGAATATGTCAATCAATCCTAATTTATGTCATATACTAACATACCAAATCTCGTTTTTTTTATCTGAAAAAATAAAAAAATATAGGAGTGAGCCACTTTCGAGAAGCACCCGGTATACAGTGTGATTGACGGTGATACCTGCGAAAGAAATTTGGTTTTTCACATATTAACACATCGGCTTCATTGACTTAAAAATATTACTTACAGCGTTACCGCTTAATTTTAAGAGTAGCATCTTTATTGCTTAAAATGGGACACAGATATATTCACTTTTAGAAACTACTTTTATTTGTCAAAACTTTTGTCAACAAAAAAATTTGTCAAAAGTACTACCCCCATCCCTGTTCGGAGTTTTATTTTACTTTCATTTATATTTGGATTAGATTTTTATTGTATTTTATTATTTAATGATATACTCTTACTTATTAGCTATTTTGGGATTGCACTAATATTCCGGAAGCATCCGACGATCATGTCAGCCCAAAAAACTTGATGAGGCATCTACAAATATGGCGAATTTCGATAAATGGACTGTCTTGAAAATCGTTGAAGTCGTAAGTAATCAACAATTGCTTAATCAAAGACATCTGGACTTTACAGACTTAACTATACCATCTAGGTAATAGCTTTGGCCTGCTTGGTGTTCAAAAGAGTGACGGACGACGAAGCAAGAAGCCTGTCCCTCTACCTGCAGAAGTTGTCTAGAGAATGGAGCTTGCTGAATAACGTCACGTGGGACAGAGTTGGAAGTTCTGTAGCCGATGTTACATATGGTGGTTATTTGATTATAACTACTGTGCTGTTAATAGGGAAAATATTTGGGGAGATACCAACGGAAAAACGAATAAGCGAATTTGTTTTCCTTGGTGTTGGTGCCATACTGTATATTGTTATAGGTAAATATTTAATTTTGATTAATAGTTTAGATTAGATTCTTCGAGGTGTCTATCGGCCTGATCCACGGCGACTTTCTCAGATCTATTGTGGTTGTCTTCTGATCATTAGGTTACATTCTCCAGTCTTATCCTTTTCAATAAGTCTAGCAACTTAGAGACTGAATCCTCCATATACATACATGGCCAAAATTATTGCATATAACGATATTTTTATTTTATTTTGGACCTAATATGATTCTTTTTATATTTTTGGACATAATGGCTTACTACACAACTAGCTAATATAAAATTAAAAATCTAAGTGCAACTAGGATGTTATTATAATTTTATTTCATAACTAGCGTGTACCCGCGACTTCTTTCGCGTTGAATTAATCATCTGTAATTGTGATGATAAAGCAAAGAAGAATTTCCATTAACATACAAACTGGATAAATTTTCTCATATTTATGTCAGCATGAGAAAAAACAATATGGCGATATTATTATATAACTTGGTAATATTTGAGGGGTAGTTTCATCTCGTTGGAATTTGACTTTCGAAAAATCTGTTTGCCAAAAATAAGCTTTTTACGTCAAGCAGTTTAAGCAGAATCGTGGTTAATCAATTACCCAACTTTTTGGAACGCCCTGTATAATTTTTTAAAAAAAATTAAAATATGTAAAGAAACAAAATAAATTATGCTTGTCCAAGCGTTTTCCCGAAAGACTAACCGTTTTTTAAATAACAAATAAGTTGTCCTCTCAATTAAGTTGTCTAGAAGATGTTGAGGAATGGCTTCCCATGTTTCGCGCGCAACAATTTTCAATTCATTTAAGGGGGGGGGGGGGTCATTCCTTTTGGCAATATGGTATTTTAGCATGTACCAAGCATGCTCGATCACATTCATATCTGGAGACATTGGTGGCCACCACAGTTTTCCCCTTATACCCATTCCTCACAAACTTTGCGAACCGCTAAATTGCGATGGAGAGAAGCATTATCGTCCATGTAAACTAGCCTCTAAAACGTATCTAAGATATGAGGCGCCTGTCATTGTGCCATCAATAAAAACAAGAGGAGTTCGAGCTCCGTGCATTATACCTGCCCATACCATAATGCTTCCCCCTTGAAACGGGACACGAGGTTGAGCTGCATTCAAGCGTGCTCGTCTTCCAGACGCTATCCAGACCAAAGTTCGTCGCGAGTCTGACACTAGGCCTATTTTTGTTTCATCACTAAACATGACGAAATTCCAATTAGGTCCATTTGCTCTCATCTCCTCAGCCCATTGTAGTCGCGTAATTTTGTGCTGTAAATTAAGCTTCGGAACACGTAAGCCTCCTTAAGTGTAATCCTCTGTCATGGAGTCTTCTTGAGGGTCTTTCTTGAAACATTTATTCCTTCAAGGCGAGCTAACCCATTTCTAATAGCAGTACTAGAAAGCAGGGGATTGCGTCGTGCAATTAGGGATATTTGACGGTCTTGCACAGCAGTAGTAACTCTCTTTCTACCTTCTTCCAGGCCGGTCTGTAACCTTGTTTGTCTCCCTGATTTTTTTTTAATATTTGCGAAACATCGCTTTGGTTAACTCCTACAATTTCAGCTATTGCAACTTGCCGGTAACCCTGTTGAGACAGTGTTACTATTCTGACTCTATTAAACTGTGAAATAATGTTTCTAGGTAAAATGCCAAAACAACGGTCAAATTTCTTCTGAAACGCAAGAGACCACAAATCGAAATGTGCAAGAATTTGTAATAATATTGGGTCTGAACGATAAACATTGTTTACCATATCCATTTTAACAAAAAAATGTTTATTACAGATTATCAAAGCTATGTATAAAAAGAGATTCTTTAAATTCCTTTCCGTATATTTTTAAACGATATATGCAATAATTTTGGCCATGTGTATATGTCAAAGTCTCACCGATGTCTCACCAACAGGCTGTCTCACCTCCATATAGCTCTCTGTCAATGGCCTATTATGGTCGATCACAGAGAACGGCACATTCAGCAGGCTGTCGCACCGACATAAAATGTTTTTTGTCGTTTCTTCTTCAGGTTGACAGAACCTGCACATTGATTCGTCCGTCAATCCCATTAGCTTAGTGTAATAATTTAGTATATTAAACATCTTATTATAGTAAGATTTTATTAAAAAACGTAAATATTTATTTGTAATGTATCAACATACTTTTGGAAACAAAAAATATCGGCCCTATTCCACCTTTAATTATAGTAATGACTCACATTCGGATTCTTCTGATATTTAGGCCCATGAGGCATTTTGTTGCTCTCCAGATGTTATTATTGTTTGCTATAAAAACTGCTTGCTATAAAAAATTGCAATAAATAGAGACATTGAAAGTCCGATATTTTTTTAGCATCAGTACTGAATCATTGTATACCATATTCAAAAAAACGTTTCGTGATACAATTTTCGTAAGTCTTAGTTTGCCAGAATGTGCTTTGAGGCAATTATTTCTGGTGGTTATATTTGTGAGCAATGACTCTATGTTAGCAATAATAATCATCATCATTTTCACCTTATTCAACCATTTCGAATTATGGTGTAGCCTCCCTCACATACTCTCTTAGTAGCTGGGCCCATTATTGTCTATTGTTGGCTATGCGGGCCCAAGTTATCCCTGCAAATTTCCTAATATCATGGCCCCATCTCAGGTTCGGTCATTTAGGTCTCTTAATTCCTCGTGGATACTATACTGTAATTTTTGTGGTCCATCTGTTGTCCGTTCTTCGTACGGTCTCTTTTAGCTATTCCCAGCATATTTCGTCCCATTGAACGTTGTGCTGAAGTTTCTTTATGATGTCCGTTTAAAGGTTGATTCTCGCTATACCTTCCATATCAGCTACCTTCCGTTTCCCTTCCCTTTAAATATAAATAATATATCATGTAAATGAATAGGACAACGCACACTATCCGTTCCGTTTCCCTTCCGTTCCATATCTTTTCCTTCCATACATTTTTTTGGCGGACGAACTGAAGCGTATCGGAAATAGCGTTATCAAGTTCTTATATTTGTACCAGCTCTGTGAACATTTTGCTAATATTTATTTATTCTTTCACCTATTCATTAAATCTATTCCTCCTCCTTCCTCCTATTACTCTATAAGAATATGGTGACATTATGATATCGCATTTATGGTGTCTCTCCATGTTATTCTGTCTTGCGCAGCAGTACTGGCCTCGTGCAGACTATGACCTATTATTGTCTTCATTTGGTCCACACAACGGTTTGGAGATCTCCCTCTAGAATGTTTCCCGTTCATTTTACTCTACACAATTAGTGTTTCTAGGCCATTGGTGTTCCTGGAAAGGTGCCAAAGTATCTTAAGTATGACTGATTTATTGATATCGACAGTCTAGATTCGATATTCAGTTGTTCTAGTATTGAAATATTTGTACGGTGAGCTGTGTACGGTGTTCGCTTGATATGGAACGGAAGCTTGCGTATAAAACGTTTTGTAATACAATTTTCGTAAGTCTTAGTTTGCCAGAATGTGCTTTGAGGCAATTATTTCTGGTGGTTACATTTGTGAGCAATGACTCTATGTTAGCAATAATCATCATCATCATTTTCAGCTTATTCAATCATTTCGAATTATGGTGTAGCCTCCCTCACATACTCTCTTAGTAGCTGGGCCCATTGTTGTCTATTGTAGGCTATGCGGGCCCAAGTTATCCCTCCTAATTTCCTAATATCATGGTCCCATCTCAGGTTCGGTCTTTTAGGTCTCTTAACTTACAATTTCCCATGATTCACTTTCATATCTCCCTAAAGCAAATGAGAATTTACACAGTTTCTTCTTCACGCCCGTAGCATTAGATGAGCTCCGTAGTACAATTAAAAGTATTAAAAATAAATTCTCATCTGGGACTGACGGGCTTACTCTCAAAATGTTCTCTGAACTTCCGGAATGCACATTAATCTATCTTACTACTTTAATTAATGAGTCATTCCAAAAAGGAGTTTTTCCAAACTGCCTTAAGACAGCAATAATTATTCCTCTGCATAAAGGAGGAGATAAAGATCAAGCTTCGAACTAACGCCCAATTGCTCTCCTGCCCACATTATCTAAGATCATTGAAAGATTGGTTAAAAAAGGCTTCTATCTTTTCTCCTTAAATATAAAGTACTTTCTACCCATCAATTTGGATTTCTAAGTAACAGTTGCACAAATGATGCTATGTTCGACCTTTTTAATAATGTATACTCTAGCCTGAATAACCATCACTCTACAGCTACAATTTTCTGTGATTTCTCTAAGGCTTTCGACTGTGTAAATCATAATATCTTAATTAACAAATTGCAATACTATGGATTCAGGGGAGTGCCGCTCGAATGGCTTAAGTCGTATCTTGGCAACAGAAGGCAGCTTGTGAGGATTGATACGTCTATGTCTTCTTGTAAGCCTATAGAATGCGGTGTCCCTCAGGGTTCAGTACTTGGCCCTATTTTATTTCTGGTGTTTATCAACGACATTGCAAGTCTAGACATTAGCGGTAAAATCTGCCTCTTTGCGGATGACACTAGTTTCACTTGAAGCGGCCCAGATGTTACGGCACTATATAGTACTTAAATCTTGGTGCGATTCTAATCTCATATGCCTCAACCTTTCAAAAAGTAAAGTTTTGTCATATAAAAGTACTATACAATCTTTTATACTTAATAACACCACTATTGACGTCGTGGACTCTGTGAGATTCTTAGGACTTGTTGTAGACAACTCGTTAAAATGGGACTTGCACATCGAAGCCTTATCAAAGAAACTAAGCTCTGCCTGTTTTGCGCTAAGATCAGTTTCTAAGGAACTTAACTCATCAATCTCTAGAATGGTCTATTATGCCCTTTTTGAGGCGCATCTTCGTTATGCCCTTCCATTCTGGGGTACTTGCTGCGCGACAAAATTGGATCGTATTTTCAAACTTCAAAAGAGAGCAGTTCGATACTTATTGGGACTAAACAGTAGAACTCACTGCCAGAATTTCTTTAAAA